AAGGTAGCGAGAAGGGAAATTTCCACTTTTCTGATTTTTCAAAAATTTATTAAACGTTCACTTTAGACCTTGATACATCATCCCAGGTTTACAAAGATCGAAATTGCGGAATAACGTCGCTCAAATCAGTGTTTTAAAACGCTAGCAGAAAAGACTACAACTGCCGTTTCGTGGATATTTGCACATTGTTTATCTTTGAAAGAGTTTAAATGATAACATCTTATCTGTATACTCTGTTGTTGACGATTTCTGATATAACGGGTGATAAGCTTCCCGTCTCAAACAATGCGTGTTTGTCTAACGTCCATTGTCAGCATTATTGTCAGTCGAGACTTCGTCCGAGAAACATGGTCATACAGTACCCATTTCGCCCAACCTTCCGCTTTTACATCGACTGCTTAACGCTTAATTTCCGACCATGCGGTCTTGTCCGACCGGAAACCGACCGCATTTTAATTGCGGTTTTTTTTTTTGGGGGGGGGGGGCTCGCTCGCTCATTGAAAACACTGACCGCTCGTCCAAACACTGATCACTGGCGCAGAAGTGGTCAAAATGGTGGTTTTGATAGTAAAGTGTGAACATACAACTAACTAGTATTAACTAGTATTAACTATTATTAAATTCTGAACGGCACTTCAAATCTAAAATTATCAACGAAAGACTAGGTTTTATTTTAGGCTTAGAAATATTTTCTTTCTGTCAGCCCATGCATGGAACTGCCATTTAGCTTCATGGTCCTTCAGCTTGTCTTCGCCTCGGAACACATCGCGAAGACTCAATAATCAGGAAAGAAAACCCAGACAACCATGTCGTACTTGTGTTGAAATACATTTTGTATTTCATGTCAAAATATTGTTTAAAATAAAATATTCAGTCCAAGCCAAATCGAGGCCAAAGGGTCAGGTTGCGTGCATATAATTATAGATAGTTAAAACGAAAAGTATTTGAACTTTTGTCAGCTGTTCAACATCTATAAAAACCATAAAGACAATGTGAACCTCGGAAATTTTTTCTGTTAGTCCGAATTTTAAATGCGTGCGAGCGAGCGGTGATATTTCGGGGTTTGCGCGGTCGAAAATAAAGCGGAAATTGTCCGATCAAATTCAACAAGCGGTCAAAAATGCGAGAAAAAAGGTGATTGGAAAGCGGGAGCGGGCGGGAGGTAGTGCGAAATGAGTACTGTAAATTTGCGCAACTTTCTTTTAAATCGTTTTATTTTCCAAGTCAATATTCTATTTTACTAATACCATGTTTTCTAACGCAATGGCGAAGAAAAGAAAGAAAGCGTTGACAGATGAGGCAAAGAAAATTCTGCCACTCAGTGTCGAACTCTGACACAGCAATTTTTTTTTCAAACATCGGCCATTTTGTTTCACCATGAAAACCGTTTTATTAGATCACTTATCAGAGACACTTGAAGGATTAGCTTGTTTGTAAACTGTCAGCATGTACAGTGGGACAGTAATGTTTGTCAGAGGATTATCCATCGTTGTTCGTTTGCATAACAATGGAAACCCGAACATTCCTGGAGTGGGGACTCAAATGCCAGCAGTTTTC